ATATATATATATATATAAACTAACAGTTGCTTCTCATCTATATTTGAAGTTTGTGAATAAGAATTCAAACATATACTTAAATATTTTCACTTAAATTCAAAAAACTTTCTTATGGAATCAGGTAACAATGAATTGGAGAAGATTGCATTGTGGATTTGGAATTGAAAACCTAAAGTTGTTCAAATTGTAATCTTTTGTGTGGATATAATAATAATAATAATAAATGATACAATAATAAATGATATTGTTATATATATATATATATATATATATATTTCAAAAGAAGTCTTATATTATTTAATTCTTGTAAAACTTGAGTAAATATCAAAACGTTTCTTATATTTTTAAAGAGACAAATAATGGATACTAGGCTCACGCACATGATAATGAATCTTGTAAATCCGTTGTAGTATAAATTTATCGATTTATTATCAATTTTATTCCTTAACATTATTTAGACAACTCTATCATATCTTAGATAATTTATGCATACGTATATACTACAAATAAGTATATGCATCTGTTATATAAAACTATCATAAATAAAAATAATAAAAAAATTATATGAATGGAAATATAGCCTACAAAATATGGGGTACAGGTGGGATTTCATTAATTAAATAGCTGATGAAATCCCAGTAAATCATTTATATGGTGGATAAACTCGTGTGATGACGTAGAAAATTATCTCCTATTATGTGATCATATCTAGGTCTAAACAATTGAGTAATGAATGCTCTTTTTTCTTAAATCACACTATAAATCATGATTGTCAAGTAAGGTTAGTGGATAGCAAATTCTTTGAGACGTTTTAGAACAACAGTATCCAATGAGTTATTGGGATTGTCTTGCCAAATGCTTATGAATAAACTTCAAACAAAAACAATTTTTGAAATACGGGCATGATCACAAAAACAACATATCTTTTGTATCTTCTAAAAAAAGGCTTTTCAACATAACTTCTAAGATGCATTTTTGATTTGGTCTCACATATAAATATGGCTTGGTATTGACGTCAATGAAAGGGAAAGACCATTTTCTCAATTATCCTGAATTAGTGAAGAGAAAAAAATAGTTTGGATGTGTTTTGAATGACCTTCGGCCTATCGTTCTGGATGCCCATTTTCTCAATTGATATTGATGTTTGTAGCCTTCAATGCATTAACCAAGTATGTGAGGAACAACGATTAATGATTGTAATAACATTATTCCGCATCGTCAACTGAACTTGGTATACAATTCATGTGCGGAATACCAAAATAAACATACCCCTTAATACCTTTTTCTTGAGTTCTTTTATAGTTAACAATTTAATATAACAAATAATAAGTGACATTTAATTACAAATACCCCATCGTGATTTGGACCATTTTATAGTTTGCACCTTGACTTAAATATTTATGAAATACCCAATTGCCAGGAACATCATCCTGAGACATCTTAAAATGAGAAAATACAGATTCGGAAATTCAAGTTTGACAGCATAAAAGGCATTGAAACAAACCAATGAATAAGAGCTAGGTTTGCGTTTGAAGAAAAGGCAAGACTTACCACTGTGTATGTTTTCATATTAAAAGGCATATGTATTGAGAAAACCTCCAAATGGCAAATTGAACATACACAGCTCAGAACAGTTCCTCTCTAATTACTTGTCACTCCCATATTATAATTCCTAAAGCAGTAACTAGTAATTTGACAATGCTACAAAGATGAAATTATAGGGTTGAAAATGAAGCTCTCGTTATTAGGGTGATGCCGGGATGGGTTCAGTACCAGAAACATGGGAAGCAGCGTCTTCTTTCGTTATGGCCACATAATTCACGGGAGCAACTGGTCTGGTATTATCCCTTTTTCCATCTTTTGATGTGGACCTGCTTCCATTTTGATGAGCATTAAGCGATAGCCGTCGGTTAGGAGTACCATTGGCTCCTCCATTAGTACGAGGACCTCCTACCTTACTGGAACTAACTGGTCTAGCAGGACTGGGTCTTGAACCAAAGATGGCTTCTTGTTCTGTGTTCCTCTGCTCGTGATGCTTCTTCTGATCCTACAGAGTGCAAAGTCCATACATTATGAGCCCTCAGTACCACTGCATGTATAACATATGTAGAATAGTGCACCGAAATAGGCCAAGCTTATAGTTTTATTTTTCCTTGAGGAGTTGGGGTCTTATTATTAAGTGCTCAAATCAATCTGAAAATGAGTCATCCTATAATTATCTTATCAGCAAAACTTACCCTCATCCTCCGTTTTTCTTCTTCCCGTTCATGCCTGAGCATGGCATATTCATCTAACATGGCTAGAAGTGGGACACCATCATATGCAAATGACATGCCATGATCTTCCTCCCATGCACGAGTTTTAGCAACCAATGTATCAACCAAAGCTGCATTTTCACCGAATGAAACAAAATTATACCAATAATGTGGTGTTATGTTATTTTGCATACACTGAAGTCAGATTGAATTAATAATAACAGTATCTGACAGTGGTCGTAATCTCACTCAATAAATACCTGGAATTTTATTGACCAATATCCGAGCTTTCTCTGCACGTTTGAGGTTCAAGTGTGCACCTCTGCTTGCATTGTACCTGTTTTCATCCTGTTTTACATGGTTGTGTCAGTGTAAAATTAATCCAAATGAGGAAGATTATGCAACCATTTTATGTAATGATCATAACTCGCGGCAAAGCTAGAGGAAGATAATAAGTACCCGATTATAGTCTTCAAGCCAACTCTCTTCTTCACATGCTGACATCCATTTCTCAACCTTGTCCAATATATCTTTTCGGCTTAAAGCTTCTTCTTTTGCTTTTGCTATCTGATTGTCCATGTCAGCCAGTAATTCAGCTGGTTCAACGTTTCCTGAATCAATCAATGCCATAATCTTCTCCCGAGCAGCATCTGGATCTATTTCTATATGAGCACGGGCAAATATCTCTTCGAGTTCTGCTTGCTTCTTGAAAGCAATTTCCTTCATCCTGCTGGCTTTCAGCTGATCAAGTCTCTCAACTTCCACTTCAGCCTTCATTAAAGAATGAAAGAACAAACAGTTAATATCAAATTTGGAGCCTGAATCTGTAAACTTCAGAAGGTCTTTAGTACCTGCTCAATCAAATCCAGAGCAAGGGCACCAGGAACAGTGACTTCATCAACAGAAGCTGACATGTTACAGGTAACATGATCAAATAGGCTCCTTTCCTCTGGATGAGTATCCATTAAATTCCAAAGATCAATTAATTGAGAAGCTAATTCTTGGAGCTGCATAAAGTATCCCGGTCAAAGTAAAAAAAAATGGTATTAGATTGAAAGTCAAGCAGACACGAATGCAAAACATTTGTAGGTAATATCACTCAGGTGCCAGAGTCAGAACTGATGGTGACTTCTTGAAAGCATACACATATTTAGCATGACAAAACCCTCATTATCCAAAGTTCCTAACATTTGAGA